GAGGAGCTATCAGGACCCTGGGCCGAGCGGCTTGAATAATGGCTTGCCCTATGGAAGCAATCTTTCGCTCTGCACTCTTTTCGTTAAATATTGTTCTCAGAAACAAATACAACGTTTCAGGTAGAAAAGCGCAGTTTTCATCCAAAGACGAAATCTCTCCAGGTAATGGATAAAAACTTTTAGAGATGTCCTTACTTTTGATGTCCGTTTTTATGAGATCAGCAGCTGCCTTAATCACTCTGATTTTATCGGCTTCAGGGTCAGCATCTCTAGAAGCGTCATAAAAATTTTGCAAGATGGTCGAAGCTGTACTCCTAAATGTTACGACATCAGCCTTACCATTGATACTAGCAATAACGATGTTTTCTCCAAAATGCTCTTTAAGTTTTTCTTTCATATACCGTGCGCTGTAAGGTTCTTGGTCGTTGAATTCTGCCATCTTATTCATAAGATCGTTCACAGTTAACTGCTCGTCATCGTTTTCCTTAAGATATTTTGCAACCTCCAAGAATGCCTCTTGCCTAGACTTATCAGTTGGCCTGCCTTTCTTTTGTCGTTTGCTTCCGTTAGTTTGATGAGAAAGCGGTACTTGCTTCCCCGTCCGAAAATTGGTACTGCAAACTTGGTGATAAATTGCACCTGCTGCAATGAGATCTTGGGAAAAAGATATTCTGCCATGCACTTTCTCAGCCCAACCGTCTCTTCGCTCCTCACAAATTCGGTTTAATGTGGTTTGAAAATCTAATGTTCTAACAGGAAAAACATCATGTCCTCTTTTGTTTCCCGTAAGTTTAGCAGGCTGGCTGCAAAATAAACATCGTTCACCAAAATCAAATGTTGGTTCACTGGAACGCAGGGTACGACTTGCACTAGAGGATGTTTCTTCATCAGCCGTATGTTTCTTTATGTAGGAACGAATAACCTTTACATGACAGTATTTCTGCCTGCATTTTTGATGTACACGCTGTCCTGCAAAAGTTTGGAGTGTGTCGCCACGTAGTTTACTTGCATTGTTGATGCCATCGCTTCCTTTTTGCCTAAGTTCCACTGTTTCGAGGCCATTGGTTGATAATTCCTTGCAAATTACACAATACTCCATCGTGTGATGTTAACCGGACGATAAACCACATCTTTAACCATCTATACTTTACCTTCACACGACATTTTTCACTAAAGTACCACTCTGGACGTCCAACAATGCGTTTCTACCAATACTCGTCTAAATAAATGTCTTGTGAAGCGAAGAACTTTGTTAGTTTGAAGGCCAGAGAATCGTCCAGAGCAGTTGTACGGAGCAAGAATTTTCCAAACCAAACAATCGAGAGTCTTTAGAGTCACTGATACACATATATACTTATTGATAGAGAACTAATTCAAGGAAAACTGTTGTTTTCCAGTTCTCGAAATAAAATTTCTTCGATGTGATCAAAAAGTTGTTCAAATCTTTACATTTAAACACGTGCACGCATTTTGTTTTCCAATTACGCCTATTGTTTTTAGCTGTTTGCTGTAAAAATTTACGCATATATTTTGAATAAATTGCGCGGCAGCCATTTTGAATTTAGAAAAAGAATTCAATCATAAAACTGTAATTTCATCATTTTATCCTTCGAAACGTTTGGTAGACTTTTGACATGTTATTTATAGGCATCAGTAGAATAACTTCCGGCAAAAATAAATTCTGTTGCAATCACTTCAAGGTTCGGTCTTTTTTTCTCGTAGAATAACTAGACTATTGACAGAGACTGATATTTCGACAACTTGTGCAGTAGTCATCTTCAGAGTCAAAGTGAGTTGTATCTCATCAGTTGATGGTATTATACCCTGCTTATGATCGAACTGTAAACTGGAATATAATGCAGCAAAACAAAAGATTACAAAAAGCTAAATTACAATAGTATGGCTAACATTTTACTAACATTCCAATCATATTTTCATTCTTGTAGCTGTGCTTGTATAAAAACCTCGTCAAAACACGTATTAAGACAGAAGAAAGATACTAATTAAAATACCGGGATAATAACTTTACCAACTAGAATATTAGACTAAATATACTGCTTGAAAGGAGGAAAGCAACCTAAATTTGAGTATGCAGGAGTAAAGAAACTTTCCCAAAACAATAATGGTCGCTTCCTGAGAATAGTACGAGGAACTAACAAAATAAATCAGACAATGGACTACGTTTGCAAAGGGACGATAACTAATAAATTGAAAGAAATGGAATTCCCACAAAGAACTAAAAGCAAAAACCTATACTTGAAACTAAAAAAGGCGTAGTCATGTAATGGCAGGAGATACTGGGTATCACAATAACTTCTTGCAGGAATATACTTATGAGTCGCCAGGTAAACAAAACTACAGAGGATAAAATGTATACACCTTATTTGATGGTTTAGCATATAATACGTGCGGATATTAAATTTTTGCGCATTGCGTAGTATTTTTCCGAGCCCCGCATGGGCGAGGAAAAATACAAGCAATGAGGAAAATGTCCGCTCGTATTATAATTTTATGCTAAACCATCGAATAAGAGGTTTATTATTCCACTACAAAAAAAATTGTTATTTTGCAATTGGCTTCTATTTTTTTGGTAAGAGTATTCAGAAACACCCTGATTCTGTCTGTGAAAATGATGTTAACAATGAACAAAATGTTCGTGGGTATTATATGTCAAACCATTGAACAAGAGGTTGATTATTCTACTGCAAAAAAAAATTGTTATAATTATTTTTGGCTTCTATTTTCTGGTAAGAGTATCCAAAACATCCTGATTCTGTCTGTGTGAATGATGTATACAACACGAAAGCCAGTTAAATGCTCTTTATTTGATTGGATAAAACGGAATGGTAAATGACAGGTGATTGGCATGTTTGTACTAGTTTTCAGTCATTTCAGGCGTCGAAAACAACTCTTTCACTAAAAAAGAAAGGCTTTACAATTAATTTTCCTTCAAAAATGATAATCAAGCAGTCTCAAAATCCAGAAAGTATCGGCGACTAATATAAGCAATGAAGTTCTCAAAAATCAGAATTATAAAAGTTTGTTTAAAGTTCATCGTCGCTGTCAATGAGGGGCAAAATTCTCTTCAATTTCTTCGTTGGAGGGGCGGCATTATCCCAACTGAAGCCAGCTTCAGCAGGGGTGAAAGTGAAATTGCAGTTGTTAAAGACAGCTCTAGAGAACAAATTGTTGCCTCCATTTTCATCTCGCTGTTTTGGCGTCAGTACTTGGCTTTTAGCGACTGATTTATCACGTTCTTCACCCTCGACGTAGCTGTAAAGATCAGACCAGACGTTTGGATAGAGTATGGATTTATTCTATCGTGTCTAAACCTTTAAGTACAAAACTGTAACCTGATATAAACGGTGTGATTGACTGGTTAATTAAGTAAACTACCTTTGACAACTACATAATTACATAACAATCATGACATCCCCATTTTCCTATAACAGTTGAATATATGTTGTATATATATATGGTATACGACTATGAGGTTTATAATATTGTATAACTATGTGTTCATACAAAGTCCTTAAATCGGATCGGTCTGATCACTTGTCGACCGGATCGTGTGTATATTGGACCGGGTGTTGGCTCTGGCTCCTCACCGTAAGTGGAGTGCAGGTCAGTGGAGTGTTGATCTTGTTCTACGGATGTGTTTGTCGAAGGCTGAGCGATGCCGATGTCTGGAGATGGAGTAAACTCCTCTTTGGTGCGTAGTAGGTCACGCCTGTTCCTGCGAAGTCTGTGTCCGCTTTCAGTTTCGACGGTGTAGGACCGAGGCGGATATTCAAGTGGTTCAATGACTTTGCCTTTGGTAGCCCATGAGGTTCCGTTTTGGATTCTGACAGTATCGTGTGCGCTTAGGCTTGGTAGGGACTTTACACCTTGATTGTAGTATGCTGATGAATAGTTAGGGGCTTTGACGCGGTATGGCTTTGCAGATGGTAGTAAGGTTCTTGGGTTTCGTTGCATGAGCTTGAAAGCTGGTGAAGGACCACCATCCACTGTAGGAGATGTGCGAAAATTGAGGAGCGCCAAATATGGGTCTTCACCATCTTGCAGTGTTTTTCTGATGAGATTTTTGACTGTCTGCACAGTTCGTTCAGCCATACCATTGCTTTGTGGATATGTGGGACTTGACGTGACATGGTTGAAGTCCCACTGCTTGGCAAATGTGGCGAAGCCATAGGAGGAAAATTGTGGACCATTGTCAGAAACTACAATCTTTGGTATTCCTTGCCGTGCAAAAATTGATTTCATGTGAGTTACAATAGTTGAACTTAAGGTATCTGCTAACAAGCAAACCTCAAAAAACTTAGAGTGGTAGTCTACTACTAGTAGATACTTCTTATTCTTTAAGTTAAACAGATCAACACCAATTTTTATCCAGGGTTGATCGGGAATTTCGTGAGGGATTAAATGCTCTTTTTGTTGCTTGTTTCTATATTCTAAACAGATGCTACAATTTCCTATCATATCTGTTATTTCAGTTGACATGCCTGGCCAAAAGAGAACTTCTCTTGCTCGCGCTTTAGATTTTTCAATACCCAGGTGGCCTGCGTGTATTTTTGTACGCATTTCTTGGCGCATTGTAGTAGGAACGATGATGCGCTCGTTTCGCAGAAGCAGACCATTTGCAGCAGTGATTTCATCGCGATATTTGTAGTATGGATGTACAAGAGAATCAACATCTTTTTTCTCCTGGGGCCATCCGTTTTCTGTATACCCCCGGAGTTTCTCTAAAGCAGGATCGCGTGAGGTTTCGCGCTGAAACTCGAGAAGCTTGTCATCACTAATCGGAAGATTCGATATTACGAAATGAACATAGCGTGTCATGTCAGAGGTATCAATCTCAGGTGTTGATGTGTTACTGAGATATGCACGACTTAGCGTGTCTGTGACCACCATGTCCTTACCGGGAATGTAGTTCATTGTGAACTGGTACTTCTGTAAGCGAAGTAGGAATCGTTGAATTCGAGGAGGAGATTTGAGCACTG